AAGGCCAGGCTGGAGAAACCCATGGAAACAGCTGACCTGTTCATGCATCCCAGTCTGAGAGCTGTCAAACCAGTATAGGACTGACCCTGAATGTGGTGTTAGTTAGGAGGCCTGGGCAGTCTAAGGGGCCTCTAGTAATGTATCAGTATTTATCCCTAGTATATGAATGGACTTTGGGGGCCCATTCCACATAGAGGGATACTCTCTCAGCTTAGACACATGGGGGAGGACCTAGATCCTGCTCCAAATGATATGACAGACTTTGAAGACTTCCCATGGAAGGCCTCACCCTCCCTGGGGAGCAGAAATGGAATGAGCTGGGGTTTGTTGGGGTGGGGGATGATAGGGGAGGATGGGAGGGTTTGGGAACTGGGATTGACATGTAAAACAACCTTGTCTCAAATTTAAATTTAAAAAGGAAAAACAAAGAATACAGGACCCAGAAAGGATCCCAAGCATTAATGGATGGGCTTGCATGCAATGGGAAAGCTCCAGAGCCAGGGGAAACAGTCATCAGAGGCAGCAGAGCCTGTAATGGGAGCAAAGCTTTGGCAGAAGATGGGGAATTAATGTCTGAAACCTATGAAGAACTCCAAAAATTAAACACACCGAAAAATTATCCAATCAATAAATGGACTAATAAAATAACCGCGGGGATCTCAAAGGAAGAAATACGAGTGACCAATAAAAATTTGAAAAGTGTTGGACCCCCTGGGGAAATGAAAATTACACGTGAGTTTACAGAATGGTGGTTATCATCCAGAAAAGGAATGGCAAGAGATGAACCTTTACTCACTTCTGGGGGCAGGGTCAACGGGGACAGTCACTATGGAAATTAGGACAGGCTCTCTCAGAAAACTGGGAGTAGAACGTCCATGTGACCCGCCTAAGCCATTCCTGGCCACGTGTTAGTAAATGTAAGGTCTTTATCAATTACACACATCTGGTAGACGATCAGTGCCTCATCAAAGATGGGAGCTAGCACAGACACCCACAAATGGACAAGATGCAGAGGATTAGACTTTAAAGCGCGCAATCCTAACTGGGATGTCTTCGTCAAACCCTCCCCTAGGGCTCAGGGAGCATGCAGAAGAGGGAGCTAGCTGAAGGATTTTAAGAGACAGAGGAAATGGCTGACTCAAAGGAAGCCATGTCTGCCAGATACAACAGGAGTGACACACATGAGGACTCACAGAGACTGTGGCAGCATGCACAGGGCCTGCACAGGTTCAAGCCAGATGGGGACCCAGTCCTGGAAGAGGGATGTGGAGTCCTACTCCTAATCAAAAACCTGTTTGCAATTGATACCTGCTGGCATAGGGGAAATTGGGGTTTTGGAGTTTTTTCTTGTTTTGTTTTGTTGTTGTTGTTTTGTTTGTTTGTTGTTTGTTTCCCAGTTGAGTGTCTATGGGTATATAAACCACATTCCAAGACAGGCCCCATACGAAGGAGTAGTTGTCAAATGCAAACTCCACAGTGGGTATGTACGTGAGTGTGAGCACATGTTTCTTGTTTCATTCTGGCTTCTTTTGGTGACTTGGGGTCGTTTGATTCTGATTCTTAGTTTGGTGGGTTTTTTTTAAAGGGGGATTGTTTGTTCTAGAGAGAGAGAGACAGACAGAAAACGAAGTTGGGTGGGTAGGAGGTGAGTAAGATCCGGGATGAGATGAGGGAGGAGGGAAACATGAGCAAAATACACTGTATAAAAAATTTTTAAAATAAAAGAGAAACGAAATCAATGTGAAGTCTAAGTCAGCACAACACAGATACTCGGGCACCCACTTGCCTCATTATTTACGGATGTCCATAACAGATAGAAGGGTAACGGAAATGCTTTACCTATATGCAAGGGGATTTTACCTAGCTATAATGAAAGGGTGAAATTTGCAGGAAAACAGACGGACATGGAGGACAGCATGTAGAGTGAAGTAACCCATACTCAAAATGGCAAATAGTGCATGATTTCTGTCTTACCCAAGAGCAGCAGGGGACTTTGCTACAGAGAGGGTGGACTGCCTGTGACAGAGAGGGAAGAGCTATCGTGAGAGAGGAAGAGCAGAAAGCCGGGAAGGGACACGGAGGGTGGGGGGGGTTAAATGAGAGAGAGAGAGAGAGAGTGTGTGTGTGTGTAAATGTCACAGTGAACCCTGGCGCCTTATAAGCTAGCTTAAGTTAATTTAAACACACAAAAAAAGAAGCAAGTAAGACTTGGGGGCCGCTTCATAATTGTTAGAAAAGACTGGAGAGGGACACCCAGAGCGCTTGGACTCCTACGTAACCAGATTTTTGTTTGATTTGTTAACTTTTGCTTCTTGAGAAGGTCTCCCTGCAGGCTTAAGAAGTTGAAGTAAGGACCTTGCATACTTAATCCTGTATCGGCATTTGCTTCCAGAAGTTTCTAGACGAATGCAGGGGTTTTTTTTCTTGAAGAAAGGGTTCACTTATAAACCCAGCCCCTAGTAGCTAATAGATTTTCAGTTAGTAGATTAACACTGATTCAGGGGCCAGTCAATGAACACAGAGACTTCAATAATGGTTTTAAATCAGAAAAGAAAAGGGTACAGAAATCACAAACCAAAAACATTCCTTACTCCCTCATAACTGCTTCCCATTTCCCATGCTATACATCTAAATCCTCTCTCTTTGTTTAGTATTTAGTTTTAATTTTAATTGTGCGTATGTATGCGTGTCTGTGCGTGTTGCTATGCACATGAGGGTAGATGCCCACCGAGGCCAGAAGAGAGTGTTCTATTCCCTGGAGTTAGGAGTGGTCATGTGGCATCCACAGTCAGGAAGCAGAGAGAGATGGATGCTGGTGCTCAGCTCTCTTTCTCCTTTTTATTTGGCTCAAAACCCCAGCCCAGGAAATGACTCCACCCACACTTCTGGAAAATCTTTCCATCTAGTTAACCAAAGTAATTTTCACAGAGGTGCCAAGGGGCGTGTCTTACAGGTGACTTTGCAAGTTGACAGCTGAAATAAGGCTTCACGGAACCTTTACCTTATGTCCAAATGCCAGTCTAACACTGCACAGAATCAAAGTTGGTTAGTTCAGTGGGTTGGTGCTTGGCACGCCAACACCGAGAACTCACCACGACAAAGAAAAGTGATTTGTTTAGTAAAATCACAGAAGCTCAGATGAGGAGAAACCAATGAGCCACATGACTGCAGAGCACATAAAACAGCAGGAACTGCTCATGCTAGAACCTTATCAGCAAAACAAGAGCTGATTAAAGCAGAAAAAATAAACAGGGTTAGTGCTTTCCCGGGGAATGGCTGCAGATTTGCCCTGAGTCGTTGTTTAGAGCAATAACTCACTTATCGCCAGCAAGCTATGTCAAACAAACAAACAAGACCTGGGCTTGTTTAATACATCATCTTTTTAAAGACTTTTTTTATTTTCAAATTAATGAGCACGGGAATGCAGGTACCTGCAGAGGCCAGAAGAGAGCATTTGATCTCTTGACCATATTCTTAACTACTGGGCCATCTCTCCAGCCCCTAGGACAATGGTTCTCAACCTTCCTAACGCTGTGACCCTTAATACAATTCCTCATGTTTCGGTGAGCCCACCCCACCCCCACCACCACCACCATAAAACTATTTCTGTTGGTACTTCATTAACTATGATTTTGCTGCTGTTATGAATCATACTGTAAATATCTGTGTTTTTGATGGTATTAGGTGACCCCTATGAAAGGGTCGTTTGACATCCCAAAGGGGTCATGACTCACATGTTGAGAACCACTGCCTTAGAGTATCATGAATGATGCCTAGGCCATAGGTCTTACCATCGTGTATCCCATGTAATTTCATAGGGGGAAAAAACTCAGGGTTCCCTTTGGACCACTCTGTTGACCAAAGTCACTTTTCTTTCTATGGCAATAAGGGTCAGGAGTAGAGAAGCAACATCGGCTATACCTATATCCAAAACCACCTTTTAACTTATACTATATAATGGAAAGTCATCTCTAACACCCTTAGTACCTAAGGCTGTAATTGCATATGTAGAATTCTTGAAAGAAGTAGTTACATGAAAAATGGGATCATTAGGATGAATTCTAATCCAACAAGAGAAGACTTAGACATAGGTTTAGACAAAGGGACGATTGGCATGTGAAGGCACAAGAGGATGACCAATCACCAGCCAAGCATAGACCCTACATAATGGTTAATACTGGAGAGGATCTAGAATCATCCAGGAGATGAACCTCTGGGCATGTCTTTGAGTTTCCAGACTAGGTTAATAGATGGAGGAAGATCCATCCTATATTAGGGTTAGGGTTAGGGTTAAGATTAGAGTTAGGGTTAGGGTTAGGGTTAGGGTTAGGGTTAGGGTTAGGGTTAGGGTTAGGGTTAAGATTAGAGTTAGGGTTAGGGTTGGGGTTAGGGTTAGGGTTAGGGTTAGGGTTGGGGTTAGGGTTAGGGTTAGGGTTAGGGTTAGGGTTAGGGTTGGGGTTAGGGTTAGGGTTAGGGTTGGGGTTGGGATTAGGGTTGGGGTTGGGGTTAGGGTTAGGGTTAGGGTTAGGGTTAGGGTTAGGGTTAGGGTTGGGGTTAGGGTTAGAAGCAAGCTAAGCTCTAGTATGGCTGTCTTTCTGCTTCCTGGCTGTAGATGCAATATGACCCATCACCTCACACTCTTACTACCTCTATTGCCACAACTTCTTGCCCAAGATTAACTGTATCCTAACAGTGAGAGCCAAAGCAAACCTTCCCTTTCTTAGGTTGCCTTGGTCAGGCATGTTGTCATAGTAACTAAAGAATTAAAACATCTGTGCACACCTTGTACCTCCAGACCCCAGAACAATGGGACAATAGAATGCTGGTGTCCAAGGTCCCCAGTCTGGAGCGCTTGGTGATTTCTGACCTCGCAAGCACCCATATTTCTTTTCATCGACTTGCAACCACTCTAGAACTGAAACCCCAAGATTGTTGGGAGTTTTTCAGCACTACATTACAATTGTATTCCTGCATATAAAATAATGCCTGGTGGAGCATTGACATTCAATGCAGCATATATACTAGAATTGGAATGACATAGAGAAGATTAGCATGGACCCTGTGAAAGGGTGACACACAAATCTGGGAAGTGTTCCATATTTTTATAGCATCTTTTGTTGGGAATCTATAAATATATAGAAATGCATATGTGTGTGTATATATATGCATATATATATATCATGTGTATATTTACACACAAATATGTGTGTATTTACTACAATAAAATAAATATTTGGGACTTTCCAGAAAGAATTGAAGTGAGTAAAAGAAATTCAAAGTTTTCTTGCAAAGATGAAGAATATGACATCTTCTTGCTCTTCTATTACAACAAAATTCTAGAAGAGATAACTATAGAAATAAGAGGAAAAAAAATCACAACTAAAATGTACAAAGGAAAAAAGAACAGAAGAAAACACTTGTTTTCAGATGACATAATCACCTATGGAGAAAATTTGAATGAATTATTATACTGCCTCCTATAATTAATAAGCCGTTTGAGCATGATTACAGGATATAAAGTTAATACACATTAAACAAAATTGCAGAGGGAAGACGTGAGTAAAAGAGAAAATACATGGAGGAACAGCTAATACTAAGGGGCATATGTAAACCTCCTACAGCAGAAGCTTCTTAAAATATATACATATATAAAAGAAATCTAATTGGGGTCACCAAATAACAGAGGAGAAAGCACTAATTAGACATCTGTCACCACCAAGTGAATTCCCCCAGGACCAGGAATGGGTTACATCTAATCAAATTGTTGGCCAAAGCTGCAGCATGGAAACTTCCAAACAACTATTGCTAAGTGTGCTGGTTGCTCTCCGTAATCAGATGGTAAGGCCCTATTGCTGAAGACAACACATACATATTTCACTGAACATGGAGAAATGGACTAGATCCTCCACCCCTACTGATTAATGTTCATGATACTAGAAGATAATTTGCACACTTCCAAAGGAAAAGGGTCAGCACCAACCTATTTACACACCCTATGATCCAAAGTGGAGATCTGCCTACATAATTACTGGTACAATAATGGCATTAGTGTTGTGATAGTAACCAATCACTATCTGATTGGATTGGCGGCCCACTCCATGATATAGGACCCATACTAGCACTGTTCAGCTAAAGGAGCATAGCAATAAAATGACTCCTACTAACATTCTGCTACACTTATAGATCAGTACCTTGCTCAGCCATCATCAAAGAAGCTTCCTCCTGCCATAGATAAGAACCAATACAGACACCCACAAATGGACAGTGTACAGAAAGTGGGAGACCTTGGAGCACTCAGCCCTAAATAGGTTGTCTCCATCAAATCTCTCCCACTGGGTTCAGGGAACTGTGTGGAAGAGTTTACTAAAGGGTTTTAAGGGCTAGTGAAGATAGACAACACCAAGAAATCAGTGCCTTCCAGACACAACAGACTGACATGTATGAAGTCATAGATACCATAATAGCATGAACAGGGCCTATAGAGTTCAACCCAGATGGACCTCTCAGTGCTGAGTTTTCTTATATATCAGCAATCAAAGAGTTGCGTTCAAAATCAAAAGCACAGGGGCTGGAGAGATGGCTCGGTGGCTAAGAATATTGGCTGCACTTCAGAGGATGCACATGCAGTTCCCAGCATTCACCTGGGTACTCACAACCACCTGTAACTCAAGTTCCAGGGGACCCAATACCCTCTTCTGACCTCCACAGACAGCAGGCACGCATGTGGTACACAGTAACACATAAAGGAAAAATCCCCGTATACATAAAATAAAATGATAATTAAAATTTTTAAAAAACATACACAATAACATTTGTATTATCACAGAAAAACTATAAAATATTTAAGTGCTAAATATAAGAAAATTTGGGGCAGCGAAATGGGTAAAGGGAAATACCAAGCCTGATGATTACTTGAGCTTGATCCCTGAAACCCACATAGTAGAAAGAGAGAATTGATTCTTCCAGTCTTCAACACACATTGAAGCATGCATGTATGCATGCACACACACATACTAAATAGATACATGCAATTTAAATTAAAATGTGCAATCTAAGCATGGAACATTGCAAAACTGTGATGAAAGGTATCACAGGAGTACTAAGTAAATGGAGAAAGAGTTTGTGTGTAAGACAGGACATCTCAATAAGGATGAGTTATTAGCTCCTCTCAAATTGAACTAGAATCAATGTAATCTCAGTACAATGATTGATCGGTATCAACAAATTGAATTCTAATGTTTATTTGGAGATGCATAGGAGCCAGAATAGGCAGCATATTATTGAAAAAGAACAAAGTTGGAAAACTGATATTATCCCATCTCAATCAAGACTTACTAGAAAACCACAGTCATCAAGACAGTGAAGTATTGGTCAAAAAGTAATAATAACAAGATAAATTGATTAGCAACACAATAAAAAAAATCTCACAAGTGACTATATAAATAAAGTCAACATCTTTGACAAATTATGAAAAGAAACACAATGGGGAAAAGAAGACCTTTACAACAAACGGTTCCAGGGAAACTGGATATATTAGTGCAAAAATCAAATTTAAAAATGAAGTTTACACCCTTCATAAAAACTGAAGACGGAGCAAAGATCAAGATGTAAAATACAGTTCTATACAACCCCCCACCCCACCCCACCCCAGGAGATAACAGGAGAGAAATCTAGTTCTTAGACATAACACCAAAGGTACCATCTGAAAAGACTCAGTAAAATCAATAAAGGGAGAATTTTTTGTTTTCATTTTATCTGTGAAATACGCCATCAAGAAAGGAGAATGGGAAAGCCATGTGGCCAGCAAGGCGGGTCACCAAATCAGGCCACTGAGAACCTGGGTTTGATCCCTGGAACTGCCATGTTGGACAGAAAGAACCAACTCCAGCTAGTTGCCATCAGGCTTCTGCGTGTGCATGCACACGCACATGCACACACGCATACACACACACACACAGAGAGAGATATCCCATCTTTTAAACACCTTCTCGGTGTTTAAACAAAGCAAAGGGCCAAGAAAGCAGAGAGACTTCACGCTTGATGATACTGAAGAAGAAACCAAAGAACGGTGGTGGCTGGAAAAAGACTGAGTCAGGGGACCAGGAGCCTTGGTCAAGTTCTCCCCTCTGCAGCTCAGCTCCCTTACCTGAAGATTTTAGAGGTCCAGTGAAGGGAGGTCAGGAGAGGCCCTTGTTAGGTATCTTCTCATCCATCTGTCATGAATTAGTGATAGTCTAGACCTGTGATTCTCGACCTGTGGGTCAAGACCCCTTTGGGGGTCCAATGACCCTTTGACAGGGGTCACCTAAGACTATCAGAAAACACAGATATTTACTTTACAATTCATAACAGTGGTAAAATTACAGTTATATACCTCTGATTCTCCCTGAATACCATATAGTTCTTCTTCTTTGACAATTCCTCATTATTTCTGTTACAGTGTGTTTTAGGCTGTGGTTTTCTCTTGATCTTTGAGAATTCAACAAGATCACTGCTAAATGCCTTCAGTTTCTACACCTGGTCATGGTTATGGTCATATTCCACTGTGGACACCGAAGATCTGTGAATATTTTTAGGTAACTTTTGCAATAGAATATTGCAAAAATAGGTACTGGACCTGCCCTTGGGCCCATTGTGTGAGTCTGAGTTGTGAAACTGTGTGCCAGCCATGTTTCTACCCGGAGATGTGATTCAGTGATGGTCAGGGGAGGTTTGCTCTGGAGGTTTCTGATATCCCCAAGTGAATCCTATAGGGAAGGAGCCACTAGGCTACACTATTCATCTGAGGATATTTACTAGTGATCAAGATAGAATTGTTAGTGCAGTGGGGATTAAAAGAGGAGGAGCAATGGGCAGCCCCTACCCCCCCCCCCCACTTTGTCCAAGGATGGAGAGCACAATGTTTACCTAAATCCTTCATCCCAAGGCCGACTGCCTTCCCACTTCTCAGCTCCTGACTCAGGTGGGACCCACATCCATTAACACAATCCCATCAACAAGTCACTGCCACTCACGGATGACCTACAGCCCTTAAAAGGACCCCTAGAGTGTGGCTGTTCCCCTCAGTTGGCACTTTAGTCTGAACTTCCCGGTTTCTTCCTGTCCCTTTCTCTCCCACCCCACCCCATTCTCCTCTGGGCCTCTCCTTTGATGGTGCTGAATTACCCACTCCTGCCTCCCACTTCTCAACAGAGCTGTGATTGCATTTAATCATTCTTGGATGGACAAATGGATTTTACCAGCTCATTTCCAACAGCACCTGCAGACCCCTGCTCACCTGCCTTCCCACAGACTCGCATGGGTAGGGCCTGTCTTACCAGATAATGCTTCATTTTAACCAGAATGTCTCAATAGTAGGTTTCATGTTCTCAGCTGTGCAAGCGGTGGGGGTGTGATTTTTTCTTCATGAAAATGCTATTATCCCAGAACTCCAGGCTTACATCCCCCAACAATAGGTCTCTATTATTTCTGGGGGAAAGTGGCACTTTGGAGAGAATTTGCATGTGGCTCTCTGAAAGAGGCCAAGCTGGCTCAGAGCCTCCCCACAGGCTCTGAGCGCTATACTCATGCCAAAAGGTCTCACACAAGAAGACTCCTAGAGGGGAAGACTCAAGCCCACTCCCCTCCCTGGAGGGGGGACTATTGGCAGTTAATGGTTGCTGGGAGAGGGCTGTCATTTTCTTCTATGGTGTAACCACTGGTAAGTTTCCCAGGCCCCTGTAAGTAACACTCACCTCATGCCCATGCAAGCAACCCCATTAAACTCAGTGGATCAAACACACACACACACACACACACACACACACACACACACACACACACACCATAAAAACATGAAAATAGAAAAAAAAGGAAAAATTACTTGTTGGGAAGAACAAGTTCCATGGGAACTGGAGAGGGGTGAGAGCCAGTAGTAGGGATAAAAATGACCAAAACTGAATGTGTGTGTGTGTGTGTGTGTGTGTGTGTGTGTGTGTGTGTGTGTGTGATTTTTAAGATCCTCCAAATGAAGACTAGCCTGAGTTTTCTTTCATTCTTCTAGACAGCCTTGGAGCCGCCTCCGCCCTCAAGAAGAGAGGAACGATAGCAGTTGTCATACAGTAA